TCTCACGCAGCTCCTTCCAGTTGAGGCAACATCTCGATGAACAACTTGGTTTCGCAGGCTGTGCAGAAAGGCTATCTTGCCTGGGTAGATTCATTGTAAGCGACAAAAAAAACACGGTAGGAACATGCAGCCACATGCACCTGCCCCTTGGAGAGAGCGATCCGCGCGTTTCGAGCCTGGCAGCCAATGCAAGCATCTGTGCACGAGGCATAAGAACATGTCCGGCAGTCAGCAGGCCATTACCCTTGCAACAGGCTGATGCTTTCACGTCTTGAACAAATTGCCCTTTGGACTTAGAGATGAATGGGCCAACGGCATCTACCAGCCTGGAGCTCCTCGTGCAGACTTCTTTGCCGCTCTTCTGCTAGAAGGGCCTAGCCACGACAATGAAGAGCCGCAGAATCAGACGTATGTTCTACGGACAAAGGCCAGGAAATTAGTAAATGAGGGACATCCAAATGCTTATGCAAGCAGATACGCCGCAGCTTCCAAAGCCTCGGTGCGGGAGAGCTGGTCGGAAAGCACGAGAACCTGCCTGGAAACCTCCAAGCAAAACACTCGAGGAAGCACTGAGTCAGCAGTGCGCACTCCTGTTTGCTAGTTTGGGATAAATCTCAGTCAAAATCTTGTCTGTAGCCTCTTGCAGCTAAAGTCCTTAGTATGCCAGCTTGCCTGTTCTGAGCTGGCTTGTAACGCTGCAGACTGCCGCTGCACGTCCTGCGCCTCACAACGAAAGTCAGACCGATTGACGTTCAAAAGGAGCACCGTCCGGATGGCCTCGGACCTCTCCTGCGTGAACACCTGGTGCTGACGCTGAAGAGCCGCCTGAGTAGGAGCTTATTTCCAGTCTGAAGGGCCCAGGAGATGGCTACTAACAGCCCCTGGATCTCTGGGCGCCCTGGATGGATGGTACACCCTCCTGGCCTTCATCTGCAGCACTGTGCGCTCCGCCTGCGTGTCGCATCATACACGTGATGCAGCGCTTCACCAAAAGGGCCGAGGAAGAAAAAGCAGGACAGGTTCTGCCTCCTCTGCGCGCTGACGATCTTGTAGGCTGTGGCCTTCACAGCACGCAATTACACAAAGACCTTGCAGGCCTGAGGCTTCATGTACTTTGAAGGACAGCAGCAAGCATTGCACATTCTGCGGCACTCCTCCAGCTCGCAGATCAGCCAACTGTTGTTCCACAGCGAAATACCTGCGGATGCAGGACGAAGCGGCCCACGAGGTATCTACAGGGTGACAGGACTTGCTGGAAGCTGGCTAGTTCGGAACTGCACTGGTTACCGGCAGACGTTTCAAGAACTCATCCCCAACATTAATCACCAGTAACACTTAGCCCATGCATATTCACTGTGTTCGCCGGCAGCTCTTAGCAACATATTCCGCAACACCTCTTCATGACAAATTGGAAACCCTTACATACCCTTACCAATTATGCACCCTCCATCAGCATCGAGCCATCACCGATGGGCCTGTCTCGCCAAGCCTCAGGCAGAACACAAGCACGGTGGCAAGTCACTCCCACCTAAGACTGTTCATCAGAGTGGCAGACCTCCCACTCCAACTACGATTGTTGCCCAACCCGGCGTTTGCCACCCTGCGTCTACAGTGCACTTTCGCACTTTGCGGGGGGAGGGGGGGGGTGAGGAACTAGCCCCCTGCAAGCGCCTCCCAAATCGCATTGTTTTTGCATCTGGACTCTGCGATTTGTTAGAAGTAGGTTCCTTGGTCAGTGACAAGGAACCCTCGCTGCTTTGGTTCACATGTGGTTGAAGGATGTACTCCGGGCATTGTATGCGCGTCTTACTTTTTACCGCCAGCTATATTGTTTACTAACTCCAATGAGATTCTTGCGGCGCAAACACTGTCACATCTACGTTTGTTTTGATTCAGCTGGCAATGAATTCACTCTGGCTCACTCTCTTTCTCTGTCATCGCGTAGCCGGTCGCTTCTCCTGATCATCACTTGGCATCGCACTCGCGAAACGACGCGCGACCAGGCATCGAACAGAACTCCAACCTCTGCTAGTGCAACTGTTTGCTGCTTGCACAGGGCGCAATGGACTTCATGGCATGAAATGCCATGCAGGAGCTGGTTTGTCTGATAAATGCTTTGACCTGGTGAATAAGAATAGGTTGGGATCTCAGTGCCCTGCCCGTTCTCGAGCCTGCTTGGCTGACATTGCGCAGCACTAATTCAACTACTGCAGTTACGCCAAGCTAGGCCTTAGCACGAGAGGAGAGGTGTCTCATCTTTGCCTTCACTCGCAGCCTTCCGGTTTGCATAGCAAAGCTTTACGAGTACGCGGGCCTCTACTGCACTGCACAGCAGTTTTCCAGCATAAATTGGGCCCTGGCTCCAGCTCCAACTCATCCTTTCTGATGCCAGCCCGCACTTGTGCCAGGCGAGCCTCGGCATTTCGGCCGCAGGACATGCCGAAATGCCTAGTAGGCAAGCCCTGCACTTGCCGCACAACCCCTTCGTAGGCAGTTCTGCTCACAAACCATATCGAACACGGATTCTGTCTGTGTCGGTATGCGTCAACAAAAAAAAGTGGCTGCTGGCCTCCTCTTCTTGCAGCTGCAGACGGAGGCCTGCAGTTGCTCACTTTGCTCAATTGCTCGGATTGCTGGCAATACTCCTGGACTTGGCGCGGGCCTCGATTCTCGGCAGAGAGTGCTCGAAGGCGAGCTTCCAGGCACTGCGAGTAAGCCTCAGCTCATGCTATTCGACATAAGTTCAAACTTGAGCATGCAGAGCTTTGAGTTCAGGGTGCTGCCAACAGCGCCCTTTTCTCAGAGGGAGGTGAACCTTGGAGTTCAAAAAACTTTGGAAGTCTGTCAGGTTGCAAAGGCTTAGTTCGCGAAGCCTGCTCACACCTGCTCAGCCTCAGCTTAAGCTTTGCTATGCCCCATGCATTTGATTTCTTGTCGTAGCTGTTTGCATCATCAAGAGCCTTTGCACAGCATGCGCCTTGGATTGGCACCAGACTGACTTGAGGCCATACTGGCGGTCATGAAATCCTGTCGGATGAGGGTTGAGATGGTGCCAAATTCCAACATGTGCCACGTTTACTTCACTCCTGCATGGCTACGGGCTCCAGAATTTGAAATTCGCGGTGGAGTGCCTCATGCTTGCAGGACGACTTCATGATGCAATTTAAGCCCATATTGGCAACCTGTCGTACGAGGATGAATGTCATGAATCATGAAGCTACCTGATGCTCCTCTCACATTGGCGGCTCTTTGAACCTGCAGCCCTGCAGCCCGTCGCGGCGCCGGAGAAGTAGCAGAGGCCGAGTCTTCACCTGCAATGGACTCACCGGCTCCCAGACCAGCAGTGAGCACGTCCAAGTCATGGATCGACCGACATCGCGTACGGCTTACACGTTTATGTCACTCAGTCTCATAAAAATTCAAAGTCAGGCTGTCCATGCTTTGCAGCGAGCGGCCCAGCAACATGTAACTTCTTGGGGCATCCTTGCCTCTGTCGTGATGTGTCTGCCAGTGGCCTGGTGCCAAAGGTATGTTGAGAGGCGGGGGCATCTCCACATACCACATGCCACGATACGCCAAGCGCTCCTGCAGTGGTTTCTTGCTGGCTGGACCTGGCCAGGAAGCTAGAGTAGCAGCGCGGCTTCTGCTCGAAGCTTCTCACCATTATGAATTTGTGGACTGGACTTGAGTGTGCAGCAGGGAGGACACCTTGATCCAGGCTTCACGGACGCGCCGTAGCCATCGAAGGAAGGGCGGGAGCCACCTGCTAAAGTCTACATGAAATCCGTGGCCGGGGAAATCCGCTGGTCCCAATCCCTGAACGGAGAAGCAGCACTCCCGAACCCCAACCCACAGTATGCTGAAGAGCTGAGAAGCATGTAACATTAGGTTTGTGGTCGGTTTCAAAAGAGGCCTAATCGTCACCTCGCCTGGGGTGCGTTCCTGTGCGTCTTGTCTGGCCTGAGCTATCACGTGGAGCAACTGCATCCAACCACAGGGGTCTAGAAACCTATCGATTAAGTGGTAACAACTTCATCCTGCGATCCGCAACGCTATTTTTTCTGTTGTGCTGGCCATGAAGGCATCCGTTCGCAGGGCACTTGCAAGGCATGCTCCGGAGAATTATCAGGTGCAGAAAAGAAGTGTTACACGTACACTGCCGCAGCTTGACGGTCTCAATACAAAGAGGACAAAGCACAGCACTGCTGGGACGACAGCCTGCGAGAACATCTGCGCGAGCATGCTGCGCCCTCTGCGATCGCACAAGAATGTCTGGAGCAAAACATCGCAACACTGAGGTTGGCACTAATCGCCGCTGTACATTGTCAAGCCATCATCCGCAAAGGACAGAGTCCATGGCGAGCATGGCCGCAATCCATACTTCACTCATCTTCACATTTGTTAGGATGCTTTGTGTTTACAGGTCTGATTCTAGGGCTGGCCCATTTGTCTGGCTGGCTCTGGACTCGGCAAGGCAGGCAGCACCGACCAAAGCACCATGTGCACTAGCTGGCGCCAGAGATCAGCACGCAAGTCAAGCTGCTAAGTGACTTACTTGCTAACCAACCTTGTCAACAACGGTTTTCTACGCTCACACAAACTGCATCCACAGCAATGCTACTCTCATGTCGCCCGCCAGAATGGCAGAGAGGCTGCCGTAACAACTCATGAGGCTGGAACTCTCAATCCCCAAACAATTACACGCAGCCAAGTAAGCCACTCAGACTCCATAACAGGCTCCCGTCAGTAATCATTCGTAGTTGGCAATGCAAGCACGCAGCAACGCCATTCCGATCAGTCAGGTCCATCGGACCTAGATCGGTGCAATAACGGCTGGAAGCATTCCCATCAGCAAGCTGTTCAGGCAAGGATTGCCCCAGGCTTCAGAAGCCTGTGACAACTGCGCGCTAGCGCCTCACTTTGACCACTGCAGCCTGGAGGTCAATGCGCAGCAAACAGCAGGCAGAGCTTGTACATGGCTGACCGAATTTGCCTTGAGGTTAGCGCTTCTTTTCCTTTTTGGCCTTGCAAGTGTAGCTCAAATCGCCCGTCGATGAAGTGCGTACAAGTGAGAATCTCAGAATTGGCTGTCAAGTGCTGCTGGGACATCGAAGCATATCGAAGCTGACACAGGCAGATCCATGTCCTTCTTCTCCTTCTCCTTGACCTTTTCTTTGTCTTTGTCTTTCGCCTTTTCTTTCTCTTTATCCTTGTCTTTTTCCTTTTCCTTCACCTGTTATGGGAGCTGCCACGAGCACATCCCCCAATGACAAGCTGCCCCGCTTGAACCAGATGTCGCGACAGCCTTCTCTTTCTTATCCTTTTTAGCTTTTTTATCTTTCTCCTTCTCCTTCTCCTTCTCTTTTTTGTCTTTCTTGTCCTTTTTGTCCTTCTTGTCGTTGTCCTCCGGCAGCCCAAAATCAAGCACTGCTTAGAGGGACCAGGAGGCATTTAAACCCAAGCATTTAAATATCTTCCTAGGTAAGGAACTCAAATCCTGATAGTCAGATGCTGCTTGTGGGAAGCAAGCCGGGGCCTGTGAAAACTCTCACTACACCTCCTCATCCACGGAATCTCATTTGGTGGTTGCAGATTGGGGGCCTTGCGCGCTCGGCTTCGACTTCGGCTGCTGCGACCTGTCTTGCCACCCGAGTCCGCTTGAAGTTGGCTTCACAAGCCGAGGCTAGTCGGCTAGTCCGCACATATCTTTGTTCACGGCGACGCTGCCCAGAACACACAGCACTATCTATACATCCATCCATCCATCCATCCATCCATCCATGCATGCATGCATACCATCCCAGAACTGAAACGGAGAATTCTACTTACCCGTGCACTTGGCAAAAACTGAGCCTACGCCCGTACTGCTGTTACACATAATTTTACTGCACCACGGCAGCAGATGAAACAATCGCTTGCAACTTCAACTCTGGGTGAGCTAGCTGCGTCGGCGGCTGTCGCTCCGGCCTCAAAAAAAAAACTTCTGCTGCTGCTACGGCGCTGCGTCCTCACTTTAGATTTCCTGTCATCAAGCAAACCTTGCAGCCATCGAAATCCTGTCACCACATGGCCTTCATACCACCTGTCATAGGACGCGGGACAAAGCATTTCAAGAAACTGACACCACACGACCAGACATAATTCAAACTCTATCAAAACTGTGCTCTTCTCGCTCAGGGCCAGACTGCGGCTGTAGCTGTAGCTGTAGCTTCGGCTGGGAGGCCTAGGATACAGAAAGACTTTCAACTCAGAGCCATGCGCACCGCACCCTTTATGTACTGGTACCTTAGGAAGAGCCTCTTGGGCGCATGCCGACCATTCGGTGGAGCTCCAGCTGGGCCTCAGAAGAACTTGGGCGTTCAGGAGGAAGTAGCTTTATGAGTTGTTTCAAGTAACTGGCAGATGGACCACTCGTCTGCTGTATAGGCGCATTCAGGGCGCATGCACAGTCTGAGGTTCCAGCCATAGGGGCCTGGCACGGGCTGCGCGATTCCGAACTGTACTGCTGCTACATGTGGCGCTGCTAGAAGCCAACCTTCTTATTGCATTGGTCGGGTACTGACAATACTCTTCCGAGGAGCTGCTACAGTAAAGCTGGCACTTCACCCATGTGCCCACATGTCGGTTAAACAGTTCCGCCCACCTCCAGCACCAGGTGGTGCATACGGACCTGCCCAACACGAACGCACAAATCCGAATACCATGGCTTTTGAAGTTAGTCTAATGGTCACGCGTGCTAGAGTTCCATGCATTGATTCTGGTTGCTGGTCCGCATTCCTCTTTCCTTTTTTTGCAGACCTTGGGCATTGGGTCCTGCTTCAGGCAGCCAGCCGAAAATTCGCCGTCAGCCATCAAAAGCATGCGAGAACAGGTGTCTTGCCTGTGCTCTGGTTCTGCGCTGCGGTATGGGTTTTGGTGGGCTGCCCGTCTGCGAGTCAGCCAGGGCTGTAGGACGAACAGTCTTGGTCTTTTCATCCATGCATCTACAGTCACTACCTCACAACTCGTCAACTTCGCTTCACGACCTGGCACTTCGTGGCTCAGGCGAAAGTCGGCATGGGCTTGTACTTGATCTTGGTGGGGTCCTTCACTCCTGTTCGCTTGAAGCGATCCTCTTCGTAGTCACTGTAGCCACCCTCGAAAAACACGACCTGAGCAACAAGAACCTACATAAGGCTTGAGCAAACCTGGACTCACGAAAGCTGATTGAAGCTCAGATACCTGGGAGTCACCTTCATAGGCCATGATGTGCGTAGCAATGCGATCCAGAAACCAGCGGTCGTGGCTGATGCACAAGACCGTACCTGCAAAGTTCTCAATGGCCGTCTCCAGTGCCCGCAAGGTTTCCACGTCCAGGTCATTTGACGGCTCATCCAGCATTAGGCAGTTGCCACCCAACCGCAGGGTCCGCGCGAGCTGCAGTCGGTTTCGCTCCCCACCGCTCAGGGAGGAGACACTCCGCTGCTGGATTTTGCCTTGAAGGTTGAACCCAAGTCCCTAGCCAAATCCAACGCCCAAGGCCCAAGACATCCCAAGACCCAAACCTTGAAATCAATAGCTCCATCCCGGCAACCCAACGAGTCGTCCAGACTCCAAGGCCCCCCAACAAAACCATCAAGCAAATGCCTCGGAAGTTGAACCAAGAGCAGTAGGCACGGCTGTTTACCTCACGGCCACCAATGTTGATGGCATCAAGGCCGTCTGTGAGCTCCTCAAAGACCGTGGCATCAGGGTCCAGGTCCTCTCGCATCTGTTCCACGTACATCGGCGCCACCGTGCTTCCCAATGTCAGCTTGCCGCTGTCAGGCTCTTCCTCGGCTGACATGCAGTGGAACTTGCATTGAGACGTAGTGTGGAATGTTACTCCACTGTATACAAGAGACTCATAGAAACTCTCTAATGTGTTTTGACCGCTGCTTAGAGAGTTCCAGCCCATTACTTAAAAGCTTTCTCAATGTGTTTTCGTTTGGGGCCCCTAACCGCCCTAGCCAAATCCAGAGTCTGCGGCTCGCCTCTCCGAGTATCCCCCTGAAAGTAATCCTCTCAACAACGCGTGAGCCTTATAGAGGAATTTTCTGGGGGTCCTACCGTTAGGGAAGCGGCTTTAGACGCTAAAGTGAATGCCAAAATAGACAGGTCAGGCACCTTGCCCATGATCATCTTGAACAGCGTGGACTTTCCAGCGCCGTTGGGGCCGATGATGCCTACTACTGCACCCGCAGGGATCCTCAGATGGCCAGCTCAACCTCTCTTGCTCCCAGCAGGTAAGGCCGCAAAATCTGACTCCGAAACAAAAAATTGAAATGCCTGAAAGAAATGCCTGAAAGTCGCTCGAAGTTGGCCTCGTTGATAAGGAGCCGGTCGCCGTAGCCCTGACTGAAGCTGCCGGGCCAGCAAAGATTGCTGACAAGACATCAGCCGAGGACAACCTGAACTCCCAACCTTGCAGACATTCTTTGCGGTGACCACGGGCTCGTTGGCGTTCTGAGATGAAGTTTAAGGCAAACACCGTGATTGACTTCACATCCCGCAGCATCTTGTAGCTTGTGCCAGGCAGCCAGGCGCGGCCCAGGGGTGATGACAATCGAGTCGAGCTCGCTGCTCCGGTTGAAAGAAGATGCCTCATGATTTGTTATCACTGATGCAACTTTGTGATGGAACTTCAGACAACACCGACGCTCGTGCCTGGGCCTCCAGATCTTCAAAACGTCCTGGACAAGACAACTCAGCAGATCAGTCTCACGGAGGCTCAAGAACTGCCAAGCGGATTTGATGAGAGGGCACTGGTGATTTATATCCGTGTTCAAATACTAGCAATGCACGACGTCAGCAAAGGCAAAACGGCATTATGACGCTGCCCTCTTTAACGTCCTTCCAACTGGCCGGCCTGTATCTTATCGCTATCTAAAGTATGCAAGTAAACTCAATCGTGCCCAAGCGTCTCAGTCTGGCCTTGCCCTTCTTCTGCCTGACCAGGTCACGACAAGATTTGCATACTCACTTTCAGCTTAGCAACTGCAACTTTTCGGCCCACCTGCCGCTACGCCGAGCATTGATAAACTCAAGCTCCTGCAGTTCTTGCAAAGGTTCGAACACGCTGGCTTCCCGGTTGGAACAGGTTTCCTGGGCCATCTGGGTCTCGAGTGTGGCCTTCCGCTTCTGCTCAGACTCTAATCGCTTGGCCTGCAGAAGAAGCATGGCAGGCCTTGTTCCTGGCTGGAACCCAGCCACAGGAGTGCATGACTGAGGCTAGACGGCTAGACAGGCTCGTGGACAAAAACGCTGAGCTACTTTGTGCTCCAGCCATCCGGAGTAGTTTCCTTGGAAGGGGATGCCCTTGCCCTGGTCCAGCTCAAGAATCCTCAGAGAGGCGTGCGGAACTGCACTCTGCATTTTGGCTAACTCGGCCCTTCGGTCCCAGCTGCCATCCTGCCACATTGTCCAGGAAGTACCGGTCGTGGGTGATGGCCACTACCGTCCCCTGCTCTTAGAAACCCGCCGAAACGAGAATGAAGGCTGTCCCGGAACTTTTTACTTTCCCAGATCTCGTAGTAGTAGAGTTCGCTGGTTTACACATAAACCTACCTTCAAAGCGCAACTAATGTCATTCCAAAACTGACAACAGGATGCCAAAGTTCCCCGAGACTCCTTGAACTCCGCAAGGAAGCGCTCCAACCACGCAACACTCTGTGCGTCCAAATGATTTGTGGGCTCATCGAGCATCAGAATGTCGGGGCTGGACCTTTTGTGGACTGAGCATGCTTACAGGGGAGGATGTTACTGCAAAATCAGGGACGGGCTGCAACCTGAGACTCAGAGATACGGCTACTGCAGAATCTCAGGCTTGCACAGAAGCAGGCGGCAAATTGCAACGCGGCGAAGCTCTCCCCCGCTTAGCGTTGCGATCTTCGCATCGCGCGGAGGGCAGTTCAGGGCGTCCATGGCCTACAGAACAATGATGGTAGCGGGGCTTGGAAGTATGCGACAATGCTGTACCTCAAAACTCTCAAAATGCTATGGAACACCTCGTCTAGCTTCTTGTCTATCTCCCAGCCGTCGCAAGCATCAATCTTGCTCTGAATCTTCTCCATCTTCTCCATGAGTGCATCCATGTCTGCATCAGGGTCAGTCATCTGCGTGCTGATGTCTTCAAATTCCTTGACCATGGCCTTGACATGGTCCACCGCTGGCTCTAAATTCTCAATCACCGTCTCCTCTTCAAGAACTGGCTCTTGTGCCAGATAACCTACTTGTATATTCTCGTCTCGATCGAGCTTCCCCAGGAATTCATCCTGGGGAACCTCACCTGCCAGAATCCGCATCACTGTGCTCTTTCCAGCCCCGTTCCTTCCCAGAATCCCAATCTTTGCACCCATGTACATGCCAAGAGAAACGTCTTTCAAGATGTAGCTGCCATCCAAAGACTTCTTTTCCACATTGCTCATGGAAAGAATGATATCGCGAGTCTCTTGGTTGTAGGCGTCAGGAGCAGCACTATCTGACTGCGGTATAGGTACTCCACCTGATGGCTTCCCGCCCTTCTTCTGAGATTTCCTCGGTTATGTCAGGGCCCCACAGACTTTAAATGAAATGACACTGGGCTAGCTGCCTTTGCTGGGTCACCAGGGCTTCAGGCTCAAGCCCTTTCCCCCAGAACTCAACTGGCTGCCCCTCTCTCATGGCCCCAAAAATTTCCCGAAAGTCACATGTTCTAGCGCCAATGCCACCCTTCATGAGGAACCAGGGGGCCAGAATTGAACATGTAAGGCGGAGACTCCGGCTCCTTGCTTGTCGCCGTATCCGGAGGCATCGCTGCATGAGCGCCTGCAATGACATGAGCTGAGGCTCAGGCGGAGTTTGATTCAACATGTTTCGGTGGCTTACTGCGAGAAGCTTTGGCAAACCCGGCCCCTGCGCCCAGAGCCCCTAGGGCTGGGCCAGCAGCAATCCTGGCAACTTCTGAGTTAACACAGTGTTCCAGAAACAGCCAGTGATTTTGTGTACGGTGTACATGTTGCTGAAGTTGTGACAAGAACTGGTCCTTCCAATGCCACTGGGAGTGGACCTGTGCTCAGAGGCGCACTTGAAGAATCCCTACTTCACACACGCCAGAGAAATCGAGAAAGTCCATTCAGCGCACGCCCTGACAAACCATGAGCCTGTTGCACTCATTGCTGGGCGCTGCCAAGGGCGACGGCCGGGTTGGCGCAGCGGCGACGAAGGCTGTCGCCATTGCTGGCTGCTAATAAACCCTCAGCAACGAAGTCAACTGGGCCAGAGCTCAGGAAACTCGCACGCAGAGCCTGCTGATGCCCTGCGTTCCTTCACTCTAGGCTGCTTGTTGTCTGCGTGGAGTTGCAGGCGCAATCTCGCCTGGATAGCCCGGCGGACCATAGTAACCAGGTGGTCCAGGCGGGTATCCTGCCGTTGCACCCTCTGACTTTAATTACTGTGCAAGTCATATCCAGCTGTCCACTACTGTCACTAGCGGGCATATGCAGAAATCATCACTATCCTTGCAGAATAGAAACAGCGGCACAATCTGCCTGCAGGTGGTGCCATATGAGGCGGGTAGCCCGGCCTTTGTTGTCACACACAAGTTTAGCATTATTTAGCTAATTCAGAGCGTCGGCATGCGGATTAAAAGGCTAGGCTACGCCCCACTTGATGCCTTTGACGCACTCATCCCCGCATCGCCTGCCGCTTGCCCTGGAGGAGAGCCTGCTGCCGGCTGGGGCTGGCTGCGCACGGCAAGGACTGTTGAGCAGGGCGGCGAGTGCGCGCAAGTGCTGGAGCGAGGGGTGGTTCCGCAAAAATGGCCTTGATTCGAAGAAAACGCGAACATCACGATGTTTTCCGGATGGATTCCCGATTTTGTTGAAACGTAAGCCTCCAGTCCTGGTGGTTCTGATACCATGAAAATGGGACCTTCCTGATGGTGTTGGGGAGTGGGTGCGAGCGGGGCGAGCGCGAGCGATCGCGGGCGATCGCGGGCGAGCGAGGGAGCGGCGAGTGAAAGCGGGGCAAGTGGCAGTGGAGCGAAGCCATCCAAGTTTCAACTGCTGCAATCGCAAAGTGCTCGTTCGCCACATGTCCAAAGGCATTTGGAACAAGTGATGAGGCTCCCCTCTGACTGCTATCTGTCACACACGGAGACGCATTTGGATAGACACCAGTCCAGGTTGTAATTCTCTGTCTTTCATATCTTTGCTTTGGTTTCTACACGTTGGTGATCTCCTCTTGGATGGCTTGAGCCTTGCTTGTCCGCAGTCCATCAAGCACGGACAGTGTCGCTGGGAAGCTGCTTCAAGATTTGAATTCCTCCTGGGACGTCCAACACAAACAAGGTCACGCACTGGTGCATCCTTGGAAAACAGTCTTGTGGGAGGATTTTTTCAAAGTTTTGGGAGGGATCAGAAGGGCCCAGTAGCCCCTGGTTGCAGGCGTCCTTCATCATCTAAGCCCTTCAAAGGAATTTAGCAGCCGGACAGCCGGACCCAAATTTGGGTCTGCAGTACGAAAGGGTGCATAAACTTGGTGTTTGGCAAGGTTCGGGTGCAGCCCAATACCCTTTTTTTCGAAGAGAATTGTCAGTCCATACATGCGGGTTGGCACAGGACTCAGGCTCAGGTACAGCCTGCCTTCAAGCAAGTGGCACGCCTTGTGAGCACAACGGGCCGTTCCCAGCATAAAACACTTGCTGGGCTGACATAAAAATGATCGCAGCTCTGCACGGTTCATGGACAGTAGTAGTTTCTATATAACCCAGTATAATAGTTACCATGCTCTTTTCCATTCCTACATTCCCAGCTATTTATGGACATGAGCGGTCCATGGGAACTACGCAATCTCTTTTGCTTTTCTTCGCTATTAAATAAAAGAGGAATTAGAGTGTAGAAATTGGGCTGCCCTGCCGGGTCCTGGTTTGATTCGTGAAACTATTTTGCTTTGCTTTAAGGGGGTGGTGCAGGAGCAGCGGTCTTAAGGCCCCGCCCCCAACGGTTCCGCTTCTTTGAGTTCGTGTGAGACCAGACTGACGTTGATTCCACAGTCGGGCGTTAGAAACAAACATAAGAACAAAGCGTCAACCGTATAGCAGTTATGATGGTTCATCGCAATCAGTTCCAATTACGTCAGTTCTAATTCAGGTTCGGGCTCTCCGGACAAGCATTCTACATAAACGAAACAAACGACATATAGTATAAACTCCGTGTAGCGAATTGACTGGTTTCCACAAAACATTCATGCACTACACCATTCCGGCTTCGTGCGACCCTCTCTCTCTTCTTCTTCTCCGGGCTCCAGGAAGCTCTCAGAGTCCCAGTCCGGTTTTACCCAGGAGTCTGATGTTCTCCGTTGCAGTCTCAGTCTCGGAGTCAACCACCACGGAAACTAGACCAGAACCCGTCTGCAGCCCGGTTCACCTCCGACCCCACAAAAGCCCGCATCCACTCACACTGGGGCGTGAGACTTCTTCTAGGCTCCGCGAGACGGAGTGTATCTGCCCATCTCTCTTCTTCTTCTTCTTCTCCTCACTGCTCTCTTTCTTTCTTTCTTTCTTTCGGTCAGGCTATGAAGGAACCCGAGGCGCAGACACAAACACCCAAACATTATGGACTTGTACAAGTGCGAGTAAATGATAGTATAACATAGGTGCACACATTTTATGTATATACATATGTATGTAGGTGCGGGATGCCTACCCCAACCTTGATTCAGTACTTCCCAGCATAGACATGGTAATGGCCTCAAATCCATCCCATCCTCATACGACAGGCAAGTCACTACAGAAGCCGAGGAGAGGAAATCACGGGTGATGCCGTGAGCAGTGACAAGTAGAGCGTATGATCCCACAATTTCCACAAGTAGGCTTTAGCCATCTTTCTTCCACCGTGCTCAATTGGTGCTGCACAGGCAACAGACAAACAATCGAGGCATGCCGCTTTCAGCTCAGTCTCACGCGGACCAAATGGCGGTGGAGGCCCGTGCCTTTGTGCCAAATATGCAGGCCATTGCAGACATGATCGAAAAGAGCGGAGGTCTACAAGTCTATACAAAGGACCCGAGGGCGTGGCGGAAACGCAAAGGGGTGCCCGGGCGGCCTAGCTCCAAGTGTAGCTGGCTTGGCAAGCTCAAGTCTGCACTGGAAGCACTCAAAGCTCAGAAGTTCACGACATGTTCCCACCCACCGGAAAAAGTAAGGCTCGCTCGGATAACCGAAGGGTGGCGGCCCTGGAAACGGTGCCTCTGCAGATGTAGGCTTCAGGAGTTCTTCCTGAACAGAAGCATAGCCAGTACTGCAATCCGATTTCTCAGCCCGTTGCTCCAGGGGGAGGCATATGGACTGGCATAGGCCTCAAGTAGCAAGAAGCAAGCGTATCCCAGGCAAACAAGAGACGGCACCACACAATATGAAGTGTCCACGCTATGACCATGATGCGGAAGGTTCGTTGGATGGAGTTGCCATTTGGACTTGGCCCCTACTAAGTCCATCTAAGTACGTCTAAGAGACATCTTCTGAGGTGTAAATTTGCATTCCTTGGCTCCGGGCGGTGGCGGAGTTGCCTTCCAAAAGTGACAGATCTCTGCAAACACTCCGAAGGCTTTGGACCCTTCAGAGCTCGGACATGTCAGCTCGGCCTTCGCTTCGCGGATTCGGGAGAGCACCACAGAGGAGGGGTTCCGGGTACCTCTGAGGTCCTCAGAGACGGCCCAAGGTGCCAATGCTGACCTTCTGCTGGGGCAAGCTCTCCAACCACAATGTACTCTGACTTCAACTATTGGTATAGCAGGAGGCTGCATCAATGGAGATTGATGGGGGCTGGTCTTGTCCTATCCTCCAGAATTCAGAATTTGGTTGCATGAAGCTGTTGCTGCAGAAACCTCTCCTGAAGCCGTGTTCTGGAGCCCAATCACTAAGGTCCGATCTCCCTTGCCGAGCACGAGGGCAATGACGTAAGGCGGGCAAGCCTCACAGCATCTCATACTTGTAGCGTACGGTAGCGAGAAGCTCTGTGTACTCTAAACACTCTCTAAACTCTCAATAAGCCAGTGACCCGGAGTTGGGCTTCGGCGCCTCAAGGGGGGTTCGCTGCGCCGTGCAAGCTGATGACCACGCCTAATGCTCTGACAAACGAGACAGGCCGACTTTCATCCAAGTCGTTGTACTCGACAAAAGCATCTATATCAGTCACCTGAGCAACATTGCCACGCATCACCAGCGCTACTGTATGCGTCTTTGAGGCATCGAACGGACCGAAACAAGGCTGCAGGAATGCAACCGCAACTGATGAGGTGGAGTTGGCAAACAGCTGGGTTCTCCATGACGTCTCGCCTTATCCGCCGACCCTTCTGGGGCGGCGCCCAGCGATATCTTCCTGCCTACAATTCAGCAGTTATCATACTTTCGTGTGCTTCGAGGCATAAGCAGAAGCTGCGTTATGCGCGGAGGCAAGTTGGCAACTACGCTGCCCCCACCCTCGCAACAAGAAAAGAGAAAGACTCAAGCTAGACAATGAAATCTGACGGGCATGTTTAGAGATCTTTATTGGGGATGACCGGGTGACATCCTATTCAACAAAGAACCTGAAGCACCAGAGGATCTCCAGAGCAGAGCATCCCCAAACTGGCGGAGAACCTGAAAAAAGTCATCATGTAATATGAAATACCCCCGCCTTCTCGCTGCACCAACTATTTTCCCCACCGACCTACTGAGTGGATTATTTGAAAAACCTGGGAGCAAGTGCTTATTTCTATCCAGAATCCAAACCCCTGCTTCCCTCCAATCCCTCGCAGCAGCCATAAGTATTGCCGAGTGCAATTCATGGACGTCTTCACTGAGGGCCAATCGCTGGGCATTTGCGGCATCAGCCCTGAAGTGGCAAGGCCTGGCTGCTCAGAGCAAGGATGAGATTCATGGATCCCGTTCATGAACCACGTGCCAGGACAACTGATGTTGCCGTTTCCCCCGGCCCTCACGTCTTTGATTTTGGCCTTAGCGATTCATCCATGCTAATGCTGAATGGCAATGTCACAGCATGTGTCTTCACACATGGGCGTGTTGCAGGAGGAAGAGGAGCGGGAAAATCTGCTTGATTGACGATGGAGAGCCTAAACCAGGAGGAATGACATAAGAAAAGCCTATAAAGCCTGAAATCCCAAAACCAAGCCCCCTCCAGGTTGGAATTCCATCCTTGCGGCTTTAGATGTCAAATGTTCATTTGATGTAGTGTTTGGCATGCGGGTTGTAGCTGCAACCTGACATTTCAACAGCTTGCGGCTTCGGGGCGGGATGTTCCAAAGCATGACAACGACTGTGCACTGGCTTGGCAGCGCACCATCAGCGCAGCTGAAGGATCAAAGGCACCTGCACGTGCTCAAAGAAAGAACGAGACGCAGCACTGCATGGGCAAGCGCTTGGCAAACGGCAGGTGCAATCAGAACTGCATTTCGGAAGCTTGCACATGTTCTGCGCTGCGTGCCTAGCATATTATTGATGGTAGAAACAAGGCTCACGCAAAACAGGCCTATGACATCGCCGCTGCTCAGAACAGTCCGCTTGACAGTCGGCGAACAGCTGCGCAACGCCTGCGCCTTGATGCTGTTCTTTCTCACCACTCTCACATAATGACGCATGCCAAGCAAATCAAGTCTCCTACCGCGATTTCGTTTACGCCGTTCGATTTGATGTAGCTGTTGACTTCAGAGCCTTGTATTGCCATTGCAGAAACCAAGGGCTCAGTTTTTCTCACCGCAGCTGAGACCAGCACTGCTCGGCAGACCCATAGGCCGCGACCTGCAAGTTTGATCGCCAAACGTGTGCATTGGCTTGCTTTTCATGTTACACTGTAAGGCACCAACGCTGTTCGGCCGCGCTGCGGCTTGTCTTCCACACGGGCATCCCGTATGCGGACCTGGGTGAGGTCCATATTTTGTTGACGGCACTAGCGCGATGGCAATTTTGCTCGGAAGCTGTACTAAGACAGCATCTAGCACGGCTGCTGAAGGGTTTCGCGCCTCACAACAACCAGCGCACCACCCTGCCCTACTGCAGGGAAATTGTGAGGATGGCACTGAATTAAGGTCTCCTCTTGTAAGGACACGTTTTTGGACCTTGCCCGAATAACACATTCCAGAAGGAGCATGGAAAAACACAAAGCGCCTCTGGAGGACATTCTCGCAAATCTTGCGCGGCACGTTCCTGGAGTGCACAGGCACGCAAACAGGGCCTAGCTTGCCGCTGCCACTTCGTGTTCGTAGTTTCCAAGGAGCGCACGTCCACTTTATTGTGTCGGACGAACCTGTGCATTCCATGTCCCATTGGCACATTGAAACGTACAACCCGCGTAAGCTGAGTGTCATGCTCTTCGACCTCTTCTGCTGTTGGCAACTTTTCCTGAATCCACTGCAAATACCACTAGCATTGACCAAATGCTGTCACGAGCAAATTCATATGGACCCACAACCGACACACATGCAAACACATGTTACAACGCGTGCAACATGTAATCTTCCAAACGCAGCGCCCATTTTCATCACACGACCCTTTTCAAGCATGCTGCACTCGCATGATTTGAAACCCCGCGTAGGTGACTTGTCCCAGCCGCCTACAACGCTACAAGGCCTTTGATCCTGAATCCCCGCCCCATAATGCATGACAATATTCACAAAGGCAATATGTAATATTGGGGAGGCGGGGGCGCTTCATGTTATGGGGGGGATCAATTATGAACGGACGTCACAAATCACACACACACAAATTGCAGCAAAGATTGGCTAGCAGTGAACTTGATTGCCGCAGTCTAACAAGTTCATTGCTGCATTCCGTTTCGTTAAGAGCGGCTGCAAATGGCATCGTGTACCAACACGTATGTAGCAACAGCCGAACATATTACACTCATAAACACATCACACGCACATTGGCCAGTGATTGATGGCAGCCGCCTCATCCGAAGATTCCTCCGAATTGCTGGGCATTGTCACCTGCCAGATCTGCACCTGACAGCTACGATGCCATTCCCTTACATGAAGCCTTGCATGCCCACTTGGGCTCAAAACATGGGACGACATCGTCTTTGCTCAGTCTGCACCAAGCTGCTGGCCCGCTTGGCGTTAAGAAGCCCGCCCCCCCCCCCAGTTATATCATTGGCTCATGTCTTCATCATGATGCGATGAATGATCTACTTGTGACTTGTGCACAGGGCCCTCGCTGCATTGCGCACAGCAGCGTCGCGGCTCTCCTCGACATACAGTTGGCTGCCACCACCGCTACGGAGAACGCTTTGAACCACACGGCAATCAGAACTTCTCAGTCAACAACATAACAAACCTTTTGTCGCACGCCCACTTCCTGCCAGGATGACAAACGTCATGGTCGGAATATGTCGGAATAGTGTCCAAGGTCACAGTCAAAGGTGGCTAGCCAGCACGGCGGCGTAAGTCGTTGGCTAAAACATCACGCAGATCTGGTGCAGCTACGGTACCGCTTCGTCTGTTCGAGCAAAGGCCTGCCGAAGGTGATGCGATTGCGCGAAAGGCGAGCAGCTGACACAAGAGCCCTACGCGGATGAAGTGAAGCTTGTCGCGCTGGCACATCATGGAACAGCAGCGCTCACAACGCAGGAGCTGTCACCCCAAAGAATACGAATGGCAGCAAGGCATAAAACTCTGTGCAGAACATGTCGGGCGCCTGGAACGCATTCCAGCATTTGGGATCTGGGGAAATGTTTTGGCCCCGCCTGCCCCCCGGATGTAGCGGCCGCCATTGCTTTGTACTTAGGAAGACAACGCTGCAGACGCCGGATAGGGGCGGCGCTGGGCTCCCAGCCATGTGTGCGGCGCAAACAGCGGCCAATTTCATGCGCAATGAAGGCAGGAGTGATTGCCCAGGTGAAGCCGGGCCCGGTGACTGGCCACACGGTTGGCAGTTTCATGCGTCGCGTGTTCAGACCAACTGTTTTCGCGGCGTGCTGCTGCCGATTTCCAAGTCCTGCCAACGAGCGGCCGCCTGGCTTACGGCCGTGCCAGCAGACAACGCCACCACGCTTCCACCGGAAGTGATGCAAATTGCGTTGCGCCGCCGCCTGCGTTTGCGCTTGCCGCTGGGCCCTGCCACTTGCGGCCAAAAAGGCCACAGCTGCGGACGTCGGCTTGACGTTTGCGCGCACCAGCTAAATGGCAAGGAGGGCAAAATTGGTCGAACGAACGTGGATTGCAGTGTGCCGCGAGACCGTGGGGTCGGAGGGGCACGTCGTCTCTTAACAGTGGTTAACGCACACTTCCGCCCCGGGCGTAGCGGCAGCAGACCCCAGCGCTGTATTCAGCGCAGGGGCAAGCGGCTGGGGCCGTGCGGTTCAGCCAGCGCGAGGACTTGATCCGGGGGTGCCGGGGGAACAGCCACATCGCGCCCAGCGCCGTGTTGCCAATTGCGTGCTGGACCGCGACTGGCAGCATGCACCACCACCTGCGGCCCCAAGCTGCCGCGAAGCAAAGGCCCGGAGGGCGGGGGGCGCCCGTAGAGCGCGGACGCGGACAAGCTGACGGACGAGTTCACGCGCATCCCGGTCCCTATGGCCGCCGACTTCAATAGCCTGGACACACAGTCTCTGTCCCCCCCTTCAGCTGCAGCGCCAGAGACGCAACTCCGGACCTGACAAGAGCAGAGGCACGTGAAACAGCGCGGGTGCGCAAGCGGCTGCAAGGGTTCGGCAGGCAGCAGCAGCTAGTTGCGGCGGTTTTCTTTTTGCGGCCCGTTCCAATGCTTGCCGCCTCGCTTGCGCGTTGGTTTTGGGTCGGCCTTGGCCTGGCCTGTGGCCGAGCGCCTTGCAACAGGGCGAAGGACGAGCCGGGCTGCTGCTGTTGGGCGGGTAGCCGGGGTGCGGGTGAGGGCGGTCGCACCCGTGCAGCTGGAGGGTCAGGCTCTGGATCCGCAGCCTCCTGTGGCAAAGCCCGAAGCGAGCCCCCGGCAGCAAGCACGGCGGCCACAAGCAGCAGCACGAAGTCGCGTTCCACAACGCCCTCCACACTCAAGCCGCCCAGATCAAGCAGCACTTTGCGCACACACGAAGGCTATGGGGGCGCGATGGTTCCCCTACCCCTATATCTTTTGAGCCAGTTCTTCAGCCAAAATTTCAGAATGGGCAAAATCCTCCTGATTATTTGGATGGACAAATCAGGTGGCAGCCTCGCATAGGCGCCGGCTGTCCCTGGCCGGGTCATTGTTGGGGGTGCCATTGGAGATGGCATCCAAATGCAATGGCGCCGCTGGCAGACGTGTTGGCGGCACGCCGCAAATTCCATGTGTTTGTCAACCCGCCCCATGAGGCGGCCAGCCAGGGTTAAGGATGGACGCGAGCTCGGGCCAGCACGGACGCCGCGTGCGGCGTGCGTGAGCAGCTCCAGGCCGTCAGCATCACTTAGCAGGAGCTTCAAGTGTTCCACCCGAGCGCCCGACAAGCCAGGCGCCGTGCCGCGCCTTGCTTCGCGCAGTGCTTTGCTTTTTCTCACACACCTTTTTGCGCCTACCTGTTTTGAAGTCCAGGTCGGCTCACGGCCGCTCGACGAGCAGCTCACCAAGGGAAATATCTGCCCCGGCACTGGCGTCGGCCGTCTGCCGGCAATTCCAGCAGTGATTGCGCATGCGCCCGCATGGCTGCGATCGCGGCAAGGGCCGTCCACCGCCTGGCCAGCGCGCGGCCTGCAACTGCCTGGGCCCACGGGCCCGCGCTCGAGTGCGAGCCCTCGCGAGCCGCCGGAGCAGCGCCAAGTGTTTGCACGATAACGTGGGCAGTCACGCGGGCCGGTTGGCAGTGAAGTAGCTCGTCTGGGACGGGTACCGCCAGTTTGCATCTCCTTTCTTTTCCACGGACTTGTCCATATGCTCGACAGGTCCCAGTCAGTGACACCCGGAGCGCTTCTGGCTCCGCACGCTTGTCAGCGGCCGGCGAGCTAACCTCGGAGCCCCATCAGGGCGGGCAGGCGGCTATTGGGCACATACCGAATGCCACGTGCGTCCGCCAGCAGATCGCCCAGGGGCGGCTCAGTGCCGCTGCTCGCGTCAACACTCGCTGGTGGGAGTTCCAACAGCGAGTGGGCAAACGCCCGCTGCGCAGCGATTGCCAGCATGCCCGTCCAGCGGTGCAAGGACGCCTGGCGGGCGGCGGATCGCAGACGAGCCGGCACTTCACGTGCCCTGGCCGCGGCGAGTTTTCGCAAGAAAGCCGCCGCCTCCGCTCCAAATCGCCCGCCCACTTCCACGCCCACCACGACGAGCTTGCACCGGTGAGCTGCTGCCAGTTCCGGGTATGTGTCCCGCCTTTTTCGGGTGCGCCACTTCCATTGAGAAAGAGGCAGCTGCCACAAACTGTCAAGCGAACACCGGTCATTATCGGCCCTGCTTTTAACAAACCTGTACACTTCAACAGCCCAACCTTTCCTTGGGTGTCCGGGTGGGCGTCTTCCCTGTGCGCCAAATAAATTAAAACAAAAAAAATTCTCAAAGACACATGTTCTCGGGACGTCTTCCGAAGGTAAATTGGTAAATCGGCCACATGCTTCAACAACACTATTTGTCTGTACTGCAGAACCTGGGACAGCATACGGTGATTTGCCTGGCTCAGAACTTTTGCGTTCGAACCTTTGCTTATGAACAAATGCGGAATGCGAAGAATCTTGCGGAAACAGCTTGTTTGGAAAACATCCAACCTCCACAACTCGACTAAAGAAGCTTCGACACCACGCATGTGTTGAAAACCCGCAATTTGCTGCCAGAAGTCAATGAGGAATGTCTCCAATTCTTTTTATGCCTGCACGACTAGCCTGGTCCAGTCTGGCGAAACATTCGTTCCATAGCAGTGAAATCAGCGCGTGCCATACCCAGTCGTCGACTCACTTCCGAAATGATGTCACCAGATGC